TGGACGTGATAGTACACTTACCTGCATGAGCTGTGACCACACAGCTAAAATAAATGGGCATGCCACGGCTAAAAAAAGTTCATTTCAAGATCGAGGTGATTCCGCCGACGGTAATCAACCGACCTCGCAACGATCGTGTATTCTTGCTAGGCTTCGTTGGTGGTGAAGTAGAAATCATCCAGAGCTAGCAGACGACAAGCATAGCAGCTCTTGTCCTGTGGAGAAAGTCAAAGCGTTTGAGTTGAGGCGCGACCAACTTTCAACCTTCCTTGAAATATTTCGGAACGATATTTTTGCGTCCATTGACATCAGCGACGACGAGGACTTCATCTCAGCATGCAAACTCTCAGTCCAACTGTCCTGGAACGTTACTCTAGGCTTCATACTATCATTCTGTGTAATATGTTTTGACTGGCTTAGCTTATGGAGTTGTCAGTAACAAGTGACAAGTCACTAGTCAAACTGCGACAATTTCGATGACGCGGAGGAAGTATGTCGCATTGGAACTGAAGTGTCAGACTGGGGCAGGTGCCGCAGTTCCTCGGCTATAAGTTGCGCCTTTTTAAGTTTTTACACTAAACTTCAACGGAAAGAAGGGGATGTGACTTACAATCGAGTGTGACTTCCTACTGATGTGAGTATATTGAATCAGTATGGCTCAGACCTGAAAGTGGGGGTGCGGCTTAAAATCAAGCGCGACTTATAATGGGGGAAATACGGTTCTGTTCACATGCCTCTGAGGTGTAGCACTGAAGATCACACCTGTACAAGTCACTAGCAATGGTGAAGACAATGGTGTATACTGACTACTGATGTTTCATTCTCCTCATCTGTTGGTTGTGTGTGTAGAGGCCAGTTTGGAATGGGAGATGTTTGAACAGTACTTTGTCTGGCAGCTGCTCTCTGCTGAGGGGTGCTCCGTACGAGAGCTACTGCCATTGCTTACAGAGCTGGATGTCACAGGTATGGATACGTGTACGTGTGCGTGTGCGTGTGTGTGTGTGTGTGTGGGTGTGTGTGTGTGTGTGGGTGTGTGTGTGTGGACTGGAGAAATAACAATGCGCTATCATTGCTACGCAATGGGCAAGGTCAAGGTGTGTGTGTGTGTATGTGCATCTGTGTGTGTGTGTGTGTGTGTGTGTGTGTGTGTGTGTGTGTGTGTGTGTGTGTGTGTAGTGTGTGTGTGTGTGTGTGTGTGTCCCATATGGTGCAGTGGTATGTGCAGTCGATTTCCAATCGAGAGGTTGCGGGTTCAATTCCCGACGATTATGGTCGCACACGTCTTTCTTCTCTTTCTCGGTCTCTTCCTGACTTTTCTTTCATTCTCCTGGGTGGTTACCAACAGCCAGTGTATGTCGGAGTATGTGGTGTGGTGTGTGTGTGTAGAAAAAAAAAGAAAAAAGAAAAAAATGGAAAAATGAAAAATAGGGATTCACTGGCCAGAAAAAGTCACTTCAATCAGCTGTGTGGTGGATACCAGGCTAAAAATAGTGGCGGTCAATTCATCAGCCTTGCAAGCTGTTGAATGGTGTAATCCCAGCACAAGTTGCTATGTCTAACATAGCTGTTCGCTATCATCGCTTCCGCGCTGGGCAGGTCTGAGGTGTGTGTGTATGTGCATCTGTGTGTGTGTGTGTGTGTGTGTGTGTGTGTGTGTGTGTGTGTGTGTGTATGTGTGTGTGTGTGTGTGTGTGTGTGTGTGTGTGTGTGTGTGTGTGTGTGTGTTAAAAAAAAAAAAAATGAAAAAGACCAAAAAAGGGATTCACTGGCCAGAAAATGTCACTCCAAATAGCTGTATGGTGTAGACCAGGCTGAATAGTGACGGTCAATTCTTCAGCCTTGCAAGCTGTTGAATGGTGTAATCCCAGCACAAGTTGCTATGGCTTCTGCCGTAGCATTGCTATCATCGCCTCTGGTGATGGGCGTCAAAGGTCAAGGTGTGTGTGTTTGTTAGCTTCGGTTGGTTCAGCAAGTGGGTCCAATTCCGCTTTTCCCATTTCCTCTCCCCTACTCTCCCCCCTCCCTCTCCTTCCTCCAAATTCCTGTCTTCCATATTTTTTTCAATTACTCACCCAAACTTTCCAGTATCATAGCTTCTCACCGAGTGCTTTCTTGAAATTCTGTTTCTCGTTTGTGTGTTGGGATTCCCGTCTTATGTGTGTGCTGCGCATGTATGCTGTGCTCATGTATCTGTGGATGCATGCATGTGTGCTCATGTATCTGTCACTGTGTTTGTGTGTATGATATTGTTGTTGTAGCGAATGCGGAGCCTGTCACTGGACTACTGGTGATTCTGCGCCAGAAAACGTATGTCAGCATTTGATGCAGCCATGTTTTTTTCTTCCGGTCTTGAGGAAATTATTCTTTTCCTGTCTCTCTCTCTCTCTCTCTCTCTCTCTCTCTCTCTCTCTCTCTCTCTCTCATTCTCTCTCTCATTCTCTCTCTCTCTCTCTCTCTCTCTCTCTCTCTCTCTCTCTATCTATCTATCTATCTATCTCTCTCTCTTTCTCTCTCTCTTCTCTCTCTCTCTCTCTCTCTCTCTCTCTCTCTCTCTCTCTCTCTCTCTCTCTCTCTCTCTCTCTCTCTCATTCTCTCTCTCTCTCTCTCTCTCTCTCTCTCTCTCTCTCTATCTATCTATCTATCTATCTATCTCTCTCTCTTTCTCTCTCTCTTTCTCTCTCTCTCTCTCTCTCTCTCTCTCTCTCTCTCTCTCTCTCTCTCTCTCTCTCTCTCTCTCTCTCTCTCTCTCTCTCTCTCTCTCTCTCCTGTAAGGCGACCGATCAAGGGACCTTACAAGTGTGGTCTCATTGTACAGGTGGTGGTCTCCTTATCCAGGGTTATTTGACTGGAAATAAGACCCGTTGCCTGGTAGGTCCTAGGTGTAGTGATCCTCTGGGACAGGTGGTCACATCATCAGACTGGTCGCCTTGCCAGGTTTTACTAAGAGTAAATCTGCTACTGTATGCGGAATGGCCAGTACTTGATCAGCATACTGATTGCACTGCTCATGACTGTGTGGTCAAATATCAGTATACCGCCGTGTATCACTGGAGGATGCACCCTCTGTGCTGAGAGTGCTCAATACCGTGCGGAGACAGAGCGTGTTACCAAGAGTACATGACACCCAGAGTGTGCAGCTCTGATGGGTTGCTGTCACGCCGAAATAATTCCATGATTACATCATTTTAGTGATGTCGTGCGTACGAGCAGGATTCAAGCAGGTCTCTTTCTGCACAACTGCAGCTCAGTTGTATGCACCATGCCACTCCCCGCCTCAGATCTGCACCAAATACGATGTAATCCAGGGATTTCGCCGTGTCAGACATCCATGCAGGAAAAGTCACAAGCTGCACACTCGTGGGTTTCATGTACAGTAAAACCTGTCAAGGAGACCACTTGGATAAGGTGACCACCTGTCCTAAAAGACCACTGAAACCAGGACCAATGGATGATATTTCCAGTCAAATGACCCTGGATAAGGAGACCACCTGGTAAAAGAGACCGGGTTTTAAAGGTCCCTTGAGCAGCGGTCCTCTTAGACAGGTTTCACTCTACTCTTGGGGTATTACACAGAACAACACCAACGTACACCTCTTGAGTTTCATGCTATGCAATCATCAGGCAACAGGCAACCATGTACCCGAGTCAAGAGCAGCGCCTTTCCATTTCAATAGCATCATGCACATGTCCCAAGGGCCACCTATGGAAGGGTCGCAGGGGCTGCATGATCATTGCGTTGGTGTTCCTTTCGGTTCCCGGGTCGAATTTCTTTGACCACAACTGTGCTTGTATTCTCTGGTTCTTGACTTTCTCTCCGTCCGTGTCCGCGTATCTGTACAGGCCCGATACCATGACGACGGCAGCGTTGCTGCGTTGCCCTGACGACCCGCATCACATTGCACCGTGTGTGCTGCAGCACTGGGCAAAGCTGCATCCGTTTGCTCTGACGTCGCTGCTTGTCGACCTGCTCCGGGGTACTAAAGTCAAGTAAGTCATGACCCGCTGGGCGCCTACACTATGCTATTCTTTGTAGTGAACGGGTTTACCGGGTGTTAGCGGCCGTCGTGAGTTCCCTTCGGGAGCGGACACGATAGTTTATTTTTTAATTTAATTTTTTATTTGTAGTGAACAGGTAACAGTAGCCCGTACTCAACTCTGGCCATAGGGCAGGAGATGTCAGAGCCCTCTTCTTTCAATGAGTTCAACATGGTGAGGGCTATACTCATCTCCGCTCCATTGTCACCTGTGTCTCTTAGGGCAGGAGATGTCAGAGCCCTCTTCTTTCAATGAGTTTAACGCGGTGAGGGCTATGCTCATCTCCGCTCCATTTTCACCTGTGTCTCGTTAACCAAAGTCGGGTACGCAATCCCAGACGGGTCTCCTGGGGCTGGTGATAATCTTCACACAAACTAGCAATTGAAAACGCAACCTCACGTTTGAAAGGGCAGTGCTCTAACTCTTTTCCAACCACACATCCCTTCTTATAGTGGACAATTGGAGTTTGGGGGAAAGTCCGTTGTTTCCAAGAGGGGACAGAGACAGAGAGCGACAGAAAGGGAGAGAGAGAGAAACAGAGACAGAGAGTGAATTTCTATGCTAACCCATCATGTAACTTTTGAAGCGTGCGCGTGTATCCTTGTGTATAATGTACTGGTGTACCGACTCAGCGTCGATACTGCCCTGCAGTGTGTGTGTTCTCACGTTGCTGGTTGATAGATCTGTTTGTTTGTTTTCCTACTGTGTTTGCTGCTTTGCGCAGTGATCAGCTGGTGTCGGTGGATGCTGGCGATGTTACACGCCATCTGTTACACTTGCGAACCCTACTACCCGACAACAATTCGGGTAAGAACAATACAGACTGTACACCGGTTATCAGTGGTGTGTGTATGTGTGTGTGGGGGGGGGGGGGGGGGGGTCTGGCCCAAATGCATATCATTCCCCATGGCAGCATGTACTCTTTGTTCACTTGAGAACTCTTCAATGCCCGCACTGATGTGCCATGAGCAGTACATGGCCTCCCAGAGAGTGTGTGTGTAACTTACGGATAAGCAATCTGCAAAATGGTGAGATCCCGGAACCTCGTCACCCTCCTTCTGACGTGTACTACGTCCACACCTGCGCTCGTGACACCCTTCCGCGTCTGTACGTGCGCTTTTAACACCCTCTGTTTTTTTGTTGTTGAGATGGGTTACCTTTATGTATGATTAGTAATTGAGTTGCCCTGTCCTTTGCTGTGGTGTGTGTGTATGTGTGTGTGTGTGTGTGTATGTATGTATGTATGTATGTATGTATGTATGTATGTATGTATGTATGTATGTATGTGTGCGTGTGTGTGCGTGCGTGTGTGTGTGTGTGTGTGTGTGTGTGTGTGTGTGTGTTGTTATGTACAGTGTTAGTACATCCTACATTACGTCAGCTGATGCATGAGAGCAGTGGTGGCAATACTACAGCAGCTGTTGGGCAAGATGACAACAACTTTGAGTATGTTATGAACCTGGTGCATGTAACTTGTCGGTGGGTGTTACCTAAATTGGCATAAGAACTACAGTCCAGGCCAAAGAAATCTGACCCACGAGTCAAAAGCAGCGCCTCGATTCCATTTCTATTACATCATGCTCGGTCCAACAACCTATCTGGGGGCTGCCGCCGCATTGGCCACAAGAGCCGTGGCACTGCTTTCGGCTCACGGCTTGGATTCCTTTGGCCACGACGGTAACATGCGCACGCCTGTGTGGTGTGTGTGCGTGTGTGTTTGTGTGTGGTGTGTGCGTGCGTGTGTGTGTGCGTGTGTGTGTGCGTGCTTGAGTATGCAGGGTGTGTTGTGTGTGTTGATGGTGCCATTGAAAGAAGAACATGTTGTGGTGTTTGGAAATATTTTCCCAATGATGGAGTGCATCGGAGACCTTAGCCAACATATTGGTGCACGCCTCACTCCCCTCCGCAACTTGAGCTTGAGGAAAAGCTCGCTTTCAAGCTTCTATGTGTGTGAAGTGAAATTCATATTGGTCGGTTTTGGCTGCGAGGCACATTTCTGTCTGATTTTTCGGAAACGAACGTGCAGCCAACACCCTGCAACACTTGATATAACATGTGGAAGTTTGTAGAGAACACCCTTGAACCGTGACCCAGAGTCTGTAGAGCATGGGGAAAGGATAGTTCTTGATCAGATTGGAAGCATCAATAGCTGCGATGATTTATCCTCTCCCTCCTCTCGCTCTGCTGAAAGTGAGAGTCCTTGCTTGTATTGGTGTGCAGCAGTATGCACTAGTAAAAGTGCAAATCATGTATAGCTTGTGTACAATGCACAGCACTTCTAACGGTATTCCTATTCTTGGCAGTCAGAGTGGTGTGTGTGTGGGGGGGGGGGCAGAAAAGCTACTTCAATCAGCTGTGTGGTGGATACCAGGCTGAAATTAGTGGCGGTCAATTCATCAGCCTTGCAAGCTGTGAAATGATGTAATCCCAGCATAAGTTGCTATGTCTAACATAGCTGTTCGCTATCATCGCTTCCGCGATGGGCAGGTCTGAGGGGGGGGGGGGGGGGGGGGAGATATGTGACTTCATCAGACCATTGTAATTCTTGCAGGTAACAGTATTACAATGCCTTGTCTGCACCGCTTTGTATCTACACCACTATGTGTCTGCTACAGTTCTGGAAACGGTCAAGGAAGCCATATCAACTCGCCACCCGCCATTGTAGCAATAAAACGAAGCCCCAGTGATGAGGTGAGTGTAGCCAACTGTAAAAGCCATATATAAATAACGAAGTGCTAACTCTAACGAGTTAACGAGGAGAAATCTGTCGTTAAAATAGAAATCGTTATACAGAAATCGATACGAAAACTGTCCTATTGAGCGTTGAGAATAAGTGAGAATCGTTATCTTTGGTACACGTAAACCAGTCGATTTCGGGAAATCGTTATATATGCGCCTCGTTAGAATAATGGCTTTTACAGTAGTTTCCACTTTGCAGGGGTGGGGGATAAAGGAAGTATGGGAGAATACCTAGAGAGAATATCTCAATTTGTTCATGTACTCAATCTGTGGACAGAACTGTTTCATCCTTTGTGGACTCGTCACCGCAGCTCAGACCAATGTGCAGCGCCGAGAGCAATGCAAGAGCAAGGCTTTTGCATTGCTATCAGGCCGGACCTGATAGGAATGAAAAATATAAGTTCCAAAGCCAGATTTAACCCTTTATGTACGGCCTGTACAACTTTCGATCCCCTGGGATCGAAACTTTTCAAAATTTCAATCGATCGTAACTCAGTCATTCCTAGGTTATTTCCAAACACTAAAATATGTAGGTCGAAGAGAAAACTCCCAGCTGTCCATTGAAACAATCGCTGAAGCGCTCTGATGCGCGGTTCCAGAGTTACGGAGCTCGAAAGTCGAATCGCAGCAAATGTCGCTCAATAGCCGCTTGCGCAGATTTGAATGAGGGATTCCCCCTCGTTCTGGGCATGCAGTGACGTTGAAACGCGTTCAAAATGGTAAACGGACTCGTGGCAGTTTGTGAAATTGTTTTGAAGTAACAGTTAGTTGTTACGAGCAAGGAGAGCGAAATGGCTGATACAAGACGACTTGTGTCGGAATATTGGCGTTGCAGCTAAGACGCTGGGCTGTAGCACTGGTGTTTTGACCTTCGTAATGGCAAGTGTGGGCTCAATGTGTTCCTCTTGCGACGAGCTTTCCAGGAAGCCCAAGATTGAAAAAATCGTCAAAAGGAGACTAAAGTTATGACCCGCAGAATTATGGAATTTGAGGTGAGTCGAGATCAAATTCAGTCTGTGTACATTTTTCCGTACATAAAGGGTTAAACCAGGCCAGAACGTACATATACCTTGCTGGAGTGCTCAAACTGACAAGTCAGTGAGCTCTGCGTAACACAAACAGCAAAGGCACTACCCCACATGAGAGTGCTCAACTACTACTTGTAGAAGAGCAGGAGCGAATACAGAGAATACCTACATGTATTTTGTTGACCAGACGACAACATGTGCAGGGGTTGCCATGATGTGTCCAGTGTATCTGTAACAGGTACTTGCCGCAAAATTGAGACATTACATCAGATCTGGCTTATCCCTTGCCATCCGGAAGAAAATCGTTGGTTACCGATTTACAGCATACGTACAGTGTGTGTATTCGATTATCCGGTTCCCTCGTCTGTCCGGATATTTTTGTGGAAAACGGATGAGTTCGGTTAACACTCTGCTTATGGGATAAGTAGGCATTTTAGTGTGGTCAGGATCGTGTGCTCCTGTAGCAAGCTGTGATCGTCTAGTGGTTAGGACCCTACGTTGTGGCCGTAGTAACCCAGGTTCGAATCCTGGTCACAGCACACTTTTTTCTTTTTTCTTTTTTTCTTTTTTTTCTCTTCACACCTAGTACTAGTAGCTAGCTTGTTTGCACTTGGTGCCTGTTTTGCATGTTGCAAATCTTTCCCATCACCATACGGGTGTGTTGATTCCAACTCCACTCAACCAGTTGCATCAACGGGTCACATGATGTCAGCCATGTTGATTCCACTGTCCACATGCCATGTGCACTTACTGGTTCCTACACGTAATGTAGTCACATGACGAGAATGTGTGAAACCATGCTATGCAGTGTCCCACAGTTGTTATTCAAACTCCTCGAGTATCCAAACGCACAAATACTCAAATAGGTGTGCTGTACAGCACACCGTACAATTTTCGTCCTGTTGGCGTGTATCCTTGTAGATTTTCATCTGCCGTTTTACGATTTTAGTGTCTGGGTTAGGGCCGGGTTCCACTGCGGCTCCGCTGCTCCGCGGCTTGTCATCCCCAGCTTGAAATGTCATCATTACCATAGTGACCGCGGCTCGAGCTGGAGCAGCGAGGCGCGGCTCACCGCAAACTTTTGCTATAAATCTTGATCAAAAACTGCGAGCCGCAGTTGCGGCTCGACCTGTTTCCGGATTCCCTTACTTTTCATTGTTTTGTACGCGAGAATTTTAAAATTCAAATTTTATTTCGTTGTGTAGGCCAGAAGACGAGGATTTTTTGATTTCGCACTTGCGCACGCGCGCACAGGCAGGTAGAACGTCATAAAAAAAACGTGAAGCACGACTGTGGTACCGCGAATGGCGAGTACTCGAGTGCCAGTGGAAGCGCGCTGCTCCGCTGCATGCAGCCAAGTGCCGCGGAGCCGCAGTGTAACCCGGCCCCCCGGCCCTTACTGCACGGCTTTGTGCACTTTAAAAAACAAGAGTATGTAGGTGTACTTGCTGCACATGTTTGCGATAAGAGTACGGTCGTATTGAAATAGTAAGAACTACTCGTACAGACTATGTCTGGGCATGAGTATGTGGATGTTATGGTGACATGGATTATCAGAGCTTACCTCCAAAGCGTTCGGATAACCGGCGTAGGGCTGCATTGCAATATATATTACATTTTCTGTATTTTTCTGTATGCGGACATACATCAAATGTGTGTGAGTGTGTGTGTGTGTGTGTATGTTGTCGTGTGTTTTGTGGGTGCACGCACGTGCGTGTGTGCGTGCGCGTGTATATGTGTGTCTGTGTGTACACATGTATTGTACATTTGTGTGTGTATAAGTATACATGCTTGTGTGTTCTTCCCTCGTTCTGTCTGTGCATGCAGGATATTCAAGGCGAGCAGAAGCGATTGTGCCCGATCGGCAACTTCTGATGTGACAACAGCGTACGATGATGGCCAGTGCTTGCTAGGCATGCGGTAAAGATGGCCAGTATCAATGACTCAAACGGTAACAGATCCACGAATTCACCAAGCTCTGCTGTGTGATGTCTTCTTCATCGGAGTCTACCTGGTCCGTGATATCACCAGAAGATCGCAGTACGTTGCAGCCGTCAGTGTTGTTGGTGCTATGCCGATGTATCGTTGTCTGTACAATACGCACTAGCAACTGGTCGAGGACTACTTCCCCCACTCTCGCGTATTGCAATCGTGTTTCGTCACAATCCAACATCGACTGGCAGCTGTTGCCATAGTAACGCCGCCGTGGAGTCTTCTACGTTCGGAGGAGAACTGTAGCAAGTATCACATGTGCTACTGCTGTGGGTAGAACACTAGCTACTGCTGTGGGTAGAACACTTGCTACTGCTGTGGGTAGAACACTTACTACTGCTGTGGGTAGAACACTTGCTACTGCTGTGGGTAGAACACTTGCTACTGCTGTGGGTAGAACACTTGCTACTGCTGTGGGTAGAGCACGTGTTAATGCTAACAACCGCCGCTGGACACATCTGCTACTGCTGTGGGTAGAACACGTGTTAATGCTAACAACCGCTGGACGGCGTCTCGCTTGGATATGTTGTGGATGGAATAACGGCTGGACGGAGTGTCGACTGGATGCGCTGAACGTTTCGTCTGCAGTTGTGCTACTCAGTGGAGTCTGTCGGTGTGTGTGTGTGTGGTCATGGATGTCTTTGTACCTTACCTCTGTAGCTGGCTGTTTCCGGGACAGAGTGGTGTGTGTGTGTGTGTGTGTGTGTGTGTTTGTGTGTTTGTGTGTGTGCCTGTCTGTTGTTTGGATGACATCACTGCGTCTAGTGTAGCACTTTGCAGTCTCCATAGCAGTGGTCATACTCGACAGTCATCGTCGACGTCCCTGTCAAGTCACTATCTGCTCAGCAAAGTGCTTCTCTGATTGCTCATTGCGCATTGAATGAGCCCACGCTTCGTGTTGCACTGACAAATAAGTACTCCGCCTGTGTTGCAGTTTGTACCGTGAGGCTATGTGACTATGGCAGCCTTCTCACCAAGCATCACTTAGTGTGCTTTGGTAACCCTGCAAGTCCCCCCCCCCCCTCTCCACACCACTCAGCCCAGTACGGGCTGCAACTGTGCTGTGCTGACTCAACCCAGTAGCAGTACACAGGAGTACAGGTGTGATGTGTTGACTCAACCCAGTACAGTACAGGCTGCAGGTATGATATGCGGACTCAACCCAGAAGCAACTTCACGTATGATGTGCTGTGCTGACTCAACCCAGAGGCAGTACAGGTGTGCTGTGCTGACTCAACCCAGTAGGCCGTGCCAACTACGGATGTGATGTGCAACCTGATGCTGCAATAGCATGCATGCTGGAGGTGTGGTGTGCTGGCTCAACCCGGTAGCAGTGCAGGCTCAGCCGCGGCAGGTGTGATAACTGACTATGATGCGAACGTGTACAGTGGTGTGGAACCGGCTATCCTGATGTGCCACACACACAGCCTGCAGGAAGAGCCACCACCACAGTGCCCCTAGCCAGCGCGGCAGCTATTCAACACGCTGGATTGCCATGACAACCGCGTTCCAGTGCAGCGACGGCGGTGGTGGCGGTACTGACGGTGTGCTGCTGCTGCTTTATCACCATGGTTACCATGTGTCCACTCTGCACACCCGCACCCTGCCAGGCTGCTGCTGGTCTACACTACTGGACTGGCTAGCTGAGTGATGTCATCATGCTGAGTGATGTCACCATGCTGAGTGATGTCATCATGCTGAGTGATGTCACCATGCTCAGCCACTACAAGTACTGCGGCGTACAGGTCACCTACATCATGTGGTTGCAACAACAATCACCCTGGTGAGAGTGTGGGGTGGGCAGCCCAAGCACTGCCAGACTGACACCATGTCCAGCAGTCCAATGCCGCCTCCGCCGCGGTATTTGTTAGAATTAGTATTCACTGTTGTCAGTGCGTGTGCCAGTGCTATGTACTTGCTGTGAGCTGCATCCGTAGTATGTGTATGATCACCTGTGGATGGTGATGATGAAGAGATGACACCACATTGTCTGTAGCAGAGTATTTTCTGTGTAATCCCTCTCCACCATCCCTCTCCACCACACTCCACCACATTATAATGTCTGCTGCCTATCTGGATTTTATTTTACTACCCTTGTTTACTGTGCTTTTTTTAACAGGCTTTTTATGCTGGCTATTTTTCTTTTGTTTTTCATTTTTGCTGCACCGTTTTAGTACCGACCCTCGCTCTGTCTTGGCAATGAACCATGGTGAGACGGTAGTCAGGTTGCTACGGACACCATGTCGTTCGTCAATCACTAATTAATTTGAATACTTAATGTGT